TAAATTTTTGTGATTGTTAAATGATTCTGTTGATGAAATTCATAGACGTCATTCCCGATGTGACATTTTTAGAATAAAATGTTTCTATAAGCACAATGAACGATGACAAATGAAGATTAGTGAATGCTTTGGAGATGCAAGCCGAAAGTTTGATACACATGATTTTCTCCTTCATAGGGAAATAACATAGAAAGTCCTTCTTAAGGAAAGAAAATAAAGATTATTAGCAAAGGGCTGTGAAAGCTCTTTGAAAATAATCTGAGACTGAGCAACTCTGGAAATGTGGATTTTAATTAAAAAATATACAAGAGCGTGTGTATAACAAACCCTGCACTATAAATGTATTAAATATTTATACAGCCTGAAGCAACTTTGGTGCTGTGTTGAAGCCTGGAGAATTGTAGTCAGGCTGTTTGGTTTGCTTCTCTGCTGGATATTTTTGAGCTGAAGGGTCTTGGACAAATATATGAATCTTTTTTCCTTTAGTTTCATCTATAAAATGGAAACAAAAAGTATTTATTGGGTTACTTTGAGGAATAAATATACAAGTTTTAAAAACTACCTAATGAGTTAAAAATGCTAGGTATGATTATTAGCTGCTATATTAGTCTTTGGCATATCTCATTTATAAAGTACAAATATCAATACTTTCATGTTCATTTCTATTTAATAGTTCTGAATGTAAATAAAATAAAAAATAGGAGAAATTTTTTTGATGAATTCACTCATTAAATTGGTTAATTGGCCATTCACCCAACATTCAAATGATGTACAAGTTTTAAAATACATTATAGTCCTTTTAATGTATAAAAATCCTTCAATTATTAGGTTAATTAATGAGGAAATACAATTTACTATTCAGTAGACTTTAAATTTTTTCTCAGTTTTTGTTTTCTTCTATCCTTTAAATTATGTATTGAAAGAGAAACAAAATAATTTTCCTTTTTGAATTGTTAAAAGAATTACAAAATGGATTAGTCCACAGGATAAAGACTTTTTTCCATCCTAAATCCATGATAGAGTATATTAAAATAAAGAAGAGTATCATATGCTTCTTTATTTTGCCTCTTATTGGATTAAAAGCTCTTTGGGTTCAGGGTTGCACTTATATATCTATACAACAATGCCATTATACAGATATTCAATAAATAGTTGCTGAAATAATAAGTAAATGATACATTTACCTAAATAGCATTGTAGTCTTTTGACTTTGGGTAGAAATATAAGAGTCACTGTCCTACAAAAATAATGGAGAAATATAGTACACAAAGTTTGCTTGGAAATTTGTCCTTCATTATTTTATAAGACATTATTTAATTTATAATACATAATAAAATTATCTTAGAAGACATCTATTTTTCATTCAAATGAAACTTTCTAAAAAGCCCTTTATTGTTAATATGTGGCTAAACATAGAATAAATACAATTTTTTTTTCAAAGAGTAGCATCTGATAGAAAAAGAGACATATTCAAAGTCTCATATTTTGAATATTAACAATCTGTTTGTCTGTTAATTTAACAGTGTGTTTTTTTTTTTCGATTTTTTTTGGGGGGGTACTGTGGATATGCCTCCAGCATACTAAATGCTCTCTTCAATAATAAGCTATACCTCTCTTCCCCAATACCTTAATTATATATATAAAATCTAATACTGTTTTATGTCAATGATTCTTGCTAATAACTAATGAATGACTTAAAACACTTTGTGTTTTGTAAAAACTAATTCACTAAAGTAGAATTATGCTACTAATCATGCTACTAGTACTCAGTTTTTCAGTTAGAAAAGCAGTAATTTCATAATAAATAAGTGACAGCTGCAGTCAGAATAAATGCTAACTTGAGGTAAAAGGCAAGATATAAAAGAACTGTAAAGTTTTATAAATTTTTGTCTGGCTGTCTTGACAGAGTGCAGGGCTCAATCTGGCTGCAGTCTGTTATGGAGGCCTTTCAGGGCCTATACATGTAGGCTTTCAGTTCAGTATTTTTAAAATTTTCTCTTTTTAAAAGAACCCCTTTTAATGTAAGAGATTATTTTACAGCCTTCCCCCAATAGTCTTATATGTTTTTTATGTATCGACAAAAAAAAAAAAAACACATGCCAGAAAGCCACCATGAATTCAGTATCTATTTTAAAATGAAAACATTTTGCTAATCACAATAGATTCAATATACTTTTAAGAATAATATTATGTATGAATATTTAGTCTGTAGATTATATTTAGATTTACTCACAACTTAGAAAAAAATTCCATTAACTCTCAGATAGGGAACTGCTGATTTGGCCGATTTCTTAAAGTCATTTGTTAGTTGGAAAATTTTATATGGTTTATTTATTTTCTTCCTGAACTGTTCTATCCTCAAATATGTTTTGTGCCTTTAAGAGGAAATATGATTGTACTTCATAGTATGTATATGTATTTAAAAGGACGATTAATGAAAATTGTCCAATTATTAAAAAAAAAAAAAAAGAAGACGACGACGAATACTATTTTGCGGAGGCAGTGGCAAATCCCTGATGTGTCATGGTGGAGTCATTCTCAAAAACTAAGGGCTAGAAAATTGAGTAAACATAGACCCAATAAAGAAAAGATTTCTTCACACCATGTAAAAATCAGCCTGTAGAAGAGCACATTGCTGTGGAAAATTTTGAGACAAGCTCAGGGATTTTTTTCACGATGATGATATCTTATGCTGGCAGGCATTGGCTACAAAGTGAAAAAATTCCTCCCCACATATCAATACCATAGAGTTGACTGTTGCCAACTGTTGTCACCATGACCCCATTCTCCTCATTGCACTCCCACCCCATCCTTTTGAACATAAGGTACAACACTATGTTTGATGAAAGGAGGCATTAATCAGGACCCATGAAGTCTTGCCCGTCATTCCTTGCAAGTACCTGCAGGTGTCACTGTGTAGAATAAGGAAATGATCCCAGTTGACACCCAATTCTTTGGAAAGAATTCCAAAGAATTTTCATTCCTCAGGCACTAGAGCTTTTTATTTTATTTTTCAAGATCCAATAGGTAGGGGGGAAAAAAACAACACACTTTGTAACCAGCAATGCCTTTTCCTAATTCTAAATTACAAAACTTAGGATTCTGATTAATGCTCCATAAAACTGTACCCCATTGCCAATATAATCTTTCGTGGCTGCATTTGTTCTTATATAAAAGAGTAATTAAGTGAGAAGTCATTTATACCTAGTTAGAAGACTTAGGGATCCTTACTGTTCTTTAGTTCACTTAACTCACAAATATTGATCACTCACCAAGAACCATCATCTTAAGAATCATTGTTTAGATACAGTAGTAAATACTGTTAAGGAACACTAACTTTGCTAGACACTGTACTAAGCACTTTCATTATTTCCTATGAGTTAGATACTATTATTATTCCTAGTTTACATGTGAGCAACCTGAGAGAGATCAAATAATAATTCTTAACCACTAAAAGATAGATGAAGTATTTGTTTCCAACAAGGGAGTTTCTGGGCATTAAAGGACCTTGGAGTCAGTGACAGTGAATAATAATAATAAATAATAATAATAATAATAAATTAAAAGTAGAAATAAGTAAGGAGTTAATAACATCCATTGATTCGGTTTTCTAGCCAAATATGTTTGCATATTGCTAAATTGACTATCTTTAGTCCCTTCAAATAACTATGATAAAAAGCAAGACAATTTATGTGTATGAACATATCTGAACACAGGACTTACACACAATAGAGGTTGTTTTTCACCAAAAGTGTAGTATCAGATCCAGAAATCTGTGAACTTGGGAAAGGTTAAACATTAAAAGCTGGAGATCAGATGAATGGAGATCCCTGTATATTCAGGCCCATTGAGAACCATGAAAATTTAACTAGATTTGACTAGTTCCCATAAAGGGCAGTCATTCCCCCAAAGTGTGACTCCATAAGCAAAAGCTGATGGGAATAAGCAAAGGCTTAGTGAGTTTTCCAGCCTGGTTGGGGTGGGACCATTTGTCAAATTTGGGAGAGCTGAGGTTGAGGACTGATGGGGTTCACCTTGTGTCAGGTCTTGTCCAAAAGGCAATCGAATTTTGTACAGAGAGTGACAGGATTGAGGAGATGTTTGGGATAAGTGAGTTCCAAAATAGCAGGCTGATAGAAGGTGAGTAGGGCAGAAAAAAAAAATAACGTGGGGTTTTCTTCGTAATTAGGAGGCGTTGAGGTGATAAATGCCTGAATCATGTTTGAAGCAGAGGAGATGAGAAGGAAGGGTAGCTGTGAAAGGCATTTCTGGGTGGTGGTGTGTTTGCATGGGAGGGGAGTGCTTGAGCTACTGACAACTTCAAGTATGTTCATAAACAGGGAGTTATCTCTGCTGAAGTTAGTAAGACACACACACACACACACACACACACACACACACACACGGCTCTCCAAAAGCATGCACTGGAAACACTAGCCCTGATTCAAGTTATGTCTGTCACCCACAGCAACCAAAGCCACCCACTACTCGGCAGGTGACCCCAGGAAGCAAACCAACTCATCTGGTTCATGCTCCCCACCTCCTCCTGCGGGAGTCGGAGTTCGAGGATGGAAAAGTTTGGGGAGTAGTCTCCGGCTACCCAGAGGACATTTTTTCATTCCTCAACCACTACTCTCAAGTGCTCCAGAGAGGGAGGATGACATCCGGAGAGTCCAGTGGTCACCACTCCTTCCCCGGGGGCCGAGATTATGAAACTCTGGGCACTTTTGAACCTCACCCCAATAGTAAGTGCTCCTGTCCGGAAGCACCTCCCCAGACTTATAAAGGTCGCAGCGCGTGGCGGTTGAGCTCACTTGCCTGACAAGCTGGTGTCAGAGGGACACCGAGGACGCATAGACCCTTCAGGCTTTCAGCAGCACTCCAGCTACAGCGCGGCAGCCGATCGCTTCGGCTGGTCGGAGCGTCCCCAGCAGCCCTCTGCCGCCTGCCTCCCACCTCCTGCAGCCGGGGCGCCTGCGCTCAGCCGAGGCTAGCCGCAGGGAAGAGGATGGAGACGCGTCCCGCGGGCCTGGTCCAGGCACTGCTGCTCTGCCTAGGTGAGCCTCGCCTCTTCCACCCCCCCGCCCCCGAAGAAGAGACGGATACTGAGTCTGTGAACTTGTCACAAGACAAGTACCGAGTTGTCACTAGGCTAAAGCGAACTCCATTTAAACTGAGGCGGGTCTGTCGTTTCCACTGGCAAAGCTGGAGGTGGGGTGTGGGATCAATATTGAAAACGCTTTTCATTAATAAATTAATTATTAGCATATATGTTGTGCATAAATTGACATATTTTTATTAGGCAAAATTAAAAGTGGAAAAACTTTGTTTTTTTTTTTTCTCTTTTGAAATTTACCAGTTCTAGAAATCCAAAAGCTTAAAAAGCACCTTTGATATTTCGTGTTTTTCTCTTCCTTGTTGGAGGGTGGCCTTTTGAGACTAGCCGCGCGCAACAATAGACCATTTGAAAAGAAATGCTTTTCCTCCTCGATCTTGCACCCAGTTTTCTAAAATCTAGCCCGGTTTAGCATCCTGGGGGCGCTGAGGTGTGCCAATGGGAGCTTGACTGGAGCTCTAGACGTGACAGAATTAAAACGCTATCCACGGATACCTGCAATTGAAGGGCCTTGGGCAGGTCCTGGAGCTCCCCACCGCCCTTTGCCTCCTACACCTGCTGAGTTCGGGTTCCCCAGCAGCTGTCCCCGCCTCCATAGCTTCGTCAGGCGCTTTGCTCTTGGGGCTGATTGCACCCGGTAGTCTGTAATCACTGAAGGTATTTTAATGTGAGTCTTCCAATTTAAGTCACCCCCCCCCCCCCGCATCTCTTAACCCATGGGCAAGACAAGAAAAAAAAAATCTGAATGTTACATTCTGGTTTTCCCTGATTCCTCAAATTTTCAAGGGGAGTTTGGAGTTGCATATGAATATTTCAATAAGGAAGTAAAAGTTGCTAGTCTCACATTCTTCCTGGAATGGCAAGGAGGTGAATTTCCCTCACACACTAACTCTACCTTTGCAGAATGTGACAGTTAAATGATTATTTCGACAGGCAGGCCTTATCTCAGGTTTGAAAGACTTAATGAAATGCATACTATGCATAGTTAGAATTTACACATCCAAGCTCAGGAACATAAGTGGAAACTGGATCTGTGGTTTCTGCCAAAACTGAGATAAGAACAACTTGGTAGAAGATTCTCAATAAATACTGTGGCTTTGCTGTCTTTGCTTAGAATCTGTGAAAAAGAATAAAATTAGAAAGACAACAGTCTTCCTAGAGTTAGAAATTAACATAGAGGTCAGAATGGCTCTATACCTTTTTTTTCCCTCCACCTGTAAGTTGCATCTGAACAATGCAAGTGTCTGTTCTAGGTATCTCATTGAATATTCTAATTTAAGACAGCAAGAGCCTATGAATAACCTTGGTACTACCCAACCAGCGTGTGTTGTGTGTTTTTGTTGTCATGAAAGTGCTTAACTCCTTTATTACATTACTTAATTATAGTTCACCTATTTCGTCAGCTGCCAAACCCATTTCCAAATGAGCTAGGTTAGTTTCTGTTTTCCCAGTTTGTTTAGATTTTTCTCTGCCACTAGGAAAGTTCCTGTTTGAAGTTCTATATCAAATCTTTGTATTCTATTCAGGTATGCAGATCTTATAGTTTTAGTCCTTTTTTATATGGAATAAAAGGCAAAGGCAATTCTAAAATTGCCTTCCTCCAAAAAAAAAAAAAGACTGCCTAGAAATATTTTTCCCAAACTCTCTTCTTCAAAAGAAAGAGATTTTTATTTTAGATCTCTTCATACATTCTATTATTTTTGTCTTATATGTATTTATGATTATGGAAAAATTCTATCCTTCATCTTCAATACATGTGGGTTTAAACTGTTACACATACACACAATCATTTTGATTACTTATAAATTTTTGAAATGTTTCCTATTTATGTTTTATAGATTGGGAAATTGATCCTAATTTTTCATATAAATGATGTTAAACAACTGAGGGATTTTGTGCCTTGGTTTACTGGCACTTTTAGTCTACTGAACATTTTGAAAAAGCATGGAAATACCTCAAAATGAATAATATTTTTTTCTGAATAATCTATGTTTTCCAGCTGCATTATCCTTTCTAATTTTGTGATTGTTACAAAAGGAAAAAAAAGAGGAGAAATTTTTATCTTGAATTCTGTAGTTATGTTGAGGGACTCTTCATCTAAAAATAAAACATTTTCATTCATGTTCAAACAGGTTTCTGAGCATGTTTCTGAATGGTATCTCCTTGACAGTTTAGTACAACTTCACACAGTAAGAGAGCATTAAGCAAAGCAAACATTCTTTCTAAAAAAAAATAAGAGAAGCTGAAATCTCAGTGAGACATTTGGCTTGCTTTCCAGTCCTCTCTGTTGACCCTGAGAATTTATGAGCTGCCTGAGTCTTGACACCACCTGAGATGACACATCTGGGCAGAAAACACAATGACAGGCCTCTCCTGTCTGGATT